GCTTCCTACCCTCTAAAAAACTCAGATACCAATTGGTAATGTAAGGACTCAAACTTCTTGTATGGAATAGTCTCTTTTTTTAAGAGTCCTAAGCATGATCTGCTTAAATGTTGTATGCACATCATTGCTTTCAGTTAAATTGGTTACCATATTGGTAAATACAATTATCACTACAGAAGAGATTCTCTCAGCTTTTGATATGTATTTCACAAGATATTCCAAGCATGCAGAATAGTCGACAACAATTTGGATGTCACAATTTGCTCGCCAAACCTGAAGTTTTAATCTTTGATGACAATTTAATCTTGAATCATTTCTTTTGGTTACAACTACTGCTTTTTATTTAGTGTCCTCTATTTTTTAGTTAATTGAGTTGTGCTTCAGAAGATTATAATTATGCAAGATCTTTTTCCACGAAAAGTCTATGAAATTCTGGCCAGTGGTATTCTGCACACAATAAAGTGAAAAATATTGTTGCTGGACCTTCTTGAGTGATAATAGCTTTTAAGCCATCTTTTGATATATGCCAGTATACAGGACTTCCTGTCATGTTTTTTGCAGAATGCAAAAGTTTAGACGTTACACTGGACTAAGTATTGACGTAAGCATTCGCTTTAGTTGTTCTGCTGACATGCATGACTCGCTCGGAATTTTTTTGGGAAGTTTGCTACTTTGTCTGAGAAGTCTATGTCTTTGGTGCATATTAAGTGCCCAATATGCAAACCTTGTATGACCGAGGCAGGTTCTGATGTTGTTATTTGAACAATGAGACAGACTTAAAGTGACAAATAAATTTATTTGTACAAGAAAGTACCAAAAAAGAAAAGGGTGATTGCAAGCTAAAAGAAATAAATAACAAATAGCAAATCACTAACAAATAATAACGATAAAATAATGAAAATAATGAAAATAAAACAACTAGTAAAAGTACAATAGATTGTCATGGCAGTGCACTAAATTTAACAAACAAGACAATTTAAAAGTATTGCATGACAGAACTGTGATCAGTGTGTGACACTTAAAATACTAATCCTCTTATCCAAACATATAACTATTGAATGATGAGCTATTCTTATAATTAAACATGAAATAACAGAAAAAAAGTAAATGCCAATAAAACAATGGCTCAAAACAACATAATATTAAATAAAACTTATCTCAATAGCATTTTCGTATTTTCCCTTTGACATAAAACTAGGTAAACTGGCAACATATTCTGTGACAGGAAAACATCTGTCATTACTAATGAACTAAACAATGAAAACTACAATAAAATATCCGATTTTACCAATGAACTCAGTCTACTACAGTATTGCATATCATGTCTAGTGAATGAAAGGTGCAGATTGATACAATGTTCTGAAAGCTGACTACACTCTAGACAAATTTTGATCATGAACAACTAAGGATTCAAGCAGAGACTAGACATTTGGATTCAGATAAGTACATGTGAACTGTATTATTCTTGAACTTAAACTCTAAGACATAATAACAAGGTCAAATGTGACATACCAAATCCTCAGTCAAATAGGTCACCAACTTGCGGCTACAATGGAGTTACTTTTTGTGACCAAGAGGTCCCGAGCTCTTAAGTGCAGGTCTTGACACTCTGCACTTCTGAATTAAACAAACTGTACTTCTTTTTACAAGGAATCGAACCATAGTAGGAAATTCTTATGATTTTTGAGGCTAGGCGTGATAGTGTGACATACAGGAAATTTGCGATGCACATCCTGTGTGTGGGATGATTTGATTATTAATAGGAAATAGTTTCTGCAGATGGAACTCTAAAACTATGACAAAAATGTCACGCATTTTGTGAGCCTGGTCACACTTAAATGAGCTGCAAATCTGTATTGCCATTTATCGTTTATTTTTTCATCAAACTTGATCAGATGTTTTATCTTTTCACCAAGGGTTAAGTTACACCATGTAGCAGCATTAGTTAAATCTCCTTTACAATCAGGAAAAAGTTAAGGAAATGCCATTGCTGCTAGTAATTGTATTTTGAACTCATAGAAAGGTTTCTGTTGTCTTTCTGGCCAGCCAAGGTTATTGTTTTGTAGAATTTCATCAGTTATTAATTGTTTTTGTTGCTTGAGTTCCACAGGATTCAATAACATGCTACTTAGCTCAGGCTCTCTTTTACAAGGGATTTCATCTACATGAAGAAGGCCTCTATTTAGATCTATGTCACTGTCTGGGTCTTTGTCAGGTGCACAAGACACTTGAGTCAATCGGTTGGAATTCCTTTTAATGGCAGACAAGCCAGGCATTTATAATCAATTTTTTTTATCTTTGTAAGCAGGATTGTGCTTCACTAACCACATCAAAGCACATGAGACTTTTTGTCCATGTACAAGTAAATCTCGTACGCTTTGTTGAGATAACTTGTTGATCACTTTTACTTTTGGTCATTTGTATCCTTCAGCGATATTTTGTCATATAGGCATCTTGGTTAAGTTGAAATTCCGGCTTATTGCTATATTTTGCTATGGATTGATTGTGTCTATCCTTCTCTGCATCTATATCAGTAGCACTTGTATTAGTGCATTCAAGCTGGGTACCAAATTGATTGCTGATATTTTTCCTTTTGCAATATTGTTTCCTAAGTGCACTTTCTTTGCTTTTACTTCAGGTTTACTTCAGTCTGTATTTCTTTATGCGCTGAGCATGCCTTGCTTGTTTCACTTTTGCATCTCTTACTGTTTTCAATTCATGTTTAATTGCTGGTGTATAATAATTTATATTGGTTGCTAATTTTGTCACTTTTTTGAGATATGCTATCAGCTCTTAAATGTTCAACATTGTCTGAGACATGTTTTGGTTGTGGTTCAGGGTAAAATACAGTAGGTTGTTGAACATTGGAAGTGTCATCCATCACTTTTGGAAATATGGCAAAAAACCAACCAGTTGAATAGTTCTGCTGTAGTTGAACAAGTGATGGAAATGTTTGCACAGAAGGACATAAATCATCAATATAAATCCACTGAGGGCCAGTAACAGTGAAATAATGACTTGAACATCTGACCATAGCTTTTAGGGAAAATTAAGAATCTAATATTTCCATAGTAAGAGAAAAGGGCATTCCTTTGATAGAATTTGATGAAAACTCAACAACCAAAAATACTGGAAGCGTAACAAAATGTTTGAGTGATGAATTTTTTTCAGAAAACTTTTGGCAT